TGGAAGTCGAATTCTTTCTGCATTTTGCTCACAAATCTCACAAACTCAGACCAGTGGGTAAGTTATTTTTTAGAAATCGATTTAAAATTTTTTAAAATAATAATAATAACCACCTAAAACCCTAGATTTCGTTCAGAGGTTGAAATCGCTTTAGTGGTTTTCAAATCCGAGCACATATGAAGATGAATACACATACACACGATGACCACACATAAACATACATTCGATCTGTTTCAACACAAACTCGAGGGTTTTAATGATATGTTTTGAACCTAGATCTTGAAATTTCGTTTTGGAGATTTTTGTTTATTCACCACATAACAAGAACATATCAAAAAATGGACACATCAAAGCTTAATTTATTCTCTGAGTATATTAAGATTTCAGTTTGTAGGAGAAGTATGGTATTCAATGAAAAAAAAAAAAAAAAAAAAAAAAAAAAAAAACTTTCATCAAAAAGTTCATGTTTGGCCAACCAGAGGTTCGTCAAAGCTGCAAAGAACGCCGGAAACCGCTAAACCCACAACAACCAGTATTGTATACAAGATAACAACTTTAATGGGCAAACGTGAACGAAAGAAAATTTTGGTGACTAAATATGCATAAAACAAAAAATAAGTTACCCTTTTAAATCATTATCTCTTTTGGTTATTGTGGTGAAAGATTCTAAGAAATGACCAATAACGTTTATTTTATGATTTAATGAAAAAGCTTCTTGTTATAAAAAACTAAGTAACAAAAGTTGAGCAAAGTGCAAGATTAAAAGCTAAGCAGGTTGCTGGTGAAAATTATGCAAGAATGAAGCATTTAAAATCAATTTTAAATAAATAAATAAATAAGGTTATTTAATGTGTCTCGTACACGGTACAAAAATTGGTAAACAAAATATAAGTTTCAAGTATTGTTCATTATTTACCTAATCATTTTGATTCAGACTTTATATAAAGCATTTCGACACCACAAGAGAAATTACTAACTGTATGCGGCTCCCATTTCTTGCAAACACTTTACATTATCAGTTTTTTATCTTAAGTTATAACACAGCTTTGATTTTTTGTTTGGATAAATGAGTTGGCGTTAATTATATTAACCATTTGGGTGTGTTGATTTGAAAATTAAAAGAGGCTTTAAACAAAAGCAAAATGCTCAAGTGAAATTGCTCATGGAAATAGAGAATTACAAACTTCATAAATATATAGTTGTAGCATTTTGATAGATGTATATTGTAGATTGCATGACTAAAATGATAGACATAACTTTGAGACTTTTTAAGGTTACGTATGGAAAAGGGATTACTTATCGTGATCAATGGATTTTAATTTTTTTATAGGTGTATTAAATACTTAAGTAGTAGAATAAAGTTGGGTTTCGTCGAATGTAGTACACTAGAATTACCTGATTACTTCTTTTGATTGATTTGTCATAAAAATATATATTTTGATTATTGATTTGAAACCATTATTCAATTCATTATAGTATATGATTTTTTGTTTGTGACTACAACATGGCATACTATTAATTATTGAAATGGTATACTGTTAATTGTTGAAATGGAGATAATGCCATATAATTCGATAATGGAAATGAATAGAGTTTTGTCTTTTTGAGGAAAATAACTCTCTTGTTCTTTTCTAAAAACAATGGAAAATATGTATTTGTAATTATTGATGTTTACTCTATTAAATGTTAGGGGTAATATGATAAAAATGTATATCTACTTTTGGTAGTGGACAATAATTTTGGAACAAATTAAAATAGTAAGGTGGACAATAAAATTGGGATGGGGGGAGTATATATATATATATATATATATATATATATATATATATATATATATATATATATATATATATATATATATATATATCACTATTCTAATAAATAAATAATTTTAATATCTTTTTGTTAAATATCTTTTTAATATAACTCCTCATTAATATTATATTATATATCATGTAGATATATTAGGCAACTCATTTCAAAATTCAAATTTATATTTTTTAATTATATTTTAAATTTAAAGTTGTAATAATTTTATATTTTTAATATATCTATTAATTAATAATTTATTTAAAATAATTGATTAATAATTATAAATTTTTATTATTAAAGTTTAATTAATTCTTTAACTTATGGTTCTCACGGGTTATAAACTAGTATGTATATAAACAAATTAAATATCTTCTGAACTTGGGACATAAACTTCATTTTAACCAATTACCCCGACCAAAATGTTCTTACTTGCAATATCTTCTGAAATTCTCATGCATGAATTTGAAGACTTTTACCATTTTATAAAAGTAACCAACTATAACTTACTACTTTGTCAAAAATATTAAGTTAATTCGTTTGAGATTTCATATTCTTTTATTGAAAACGTTTGCAGTCTCATTTCCGATCATGGTGTTATTGGGTTTCACAAGTTAGTGGTTACTTGCAAGTTAACTAAATCCATTTCCAATCATAAAAAATTAGATTCGTTAATAGTTTATATAACATTACTTGTTAAATATTTAATATAACATGTTAAAAAGATACGATATTTATTTATTCAGAAAAAAATATATATATATTTATCGTTAATGACTGTTACATGATATTAGTTTGGATGATAAGATCAACAAATGTCTTTTTAATTTTATCTTACTTAAACTTATCTAAATATATTGAATTAAATGTTTTTTTAATAAAATCATCTGATAGACAAAGCATATAATAGCTAAATGTCCCGATTGCAACCAACCTCTCCCAAGTATTAAGATGACACAATTTTCTGAAAACTATTGGTTTATGATAGATAAGATTTCATAATTGGTTCCTTTGATATTTAAAAAGTTTTAACTTATAAGACAACAATCCAAACCCACATGACCCAAACTCATTTCGACCTAATACCCAACTCAGTCAACCCGTTTATTTTGCCACCTTTAACGTTATGGATTGAAGAAACCACATGTGGACCATATATGAAATGACTAACACCAAATTACTGCTTCCCCCTCCAATTCAGAAGTAGAGTTTACTTTGAATTGAAACCAAGGCTTAGTTATGTTTAGGGGATATAATAAGGGTATTATATTGTTCAGAGTC